ACCTCAATTGAAAGGCTGGCCGACGAACAGGCGATTTGAAGCACGCAGAGCCGCATTTACTGAGTCGGTCACTGCTCTGGGAGCGACGATTGCCCCTTCAACGACAAGGCAAAGTGTTTGACCGCCCAAAGATGTATGACGACCAGCCAAGGGCGCAGGCCTCATTGAAGACAGCACCGTGGTAGGACACCCGCTTGACAGCGCTGCAAAGCCTTGCCTTGTAGAACATGCGCTTGTTGCCGCCGTGTTGCGTTTGCCTTCCACGCAATGGCCCGTATTTGACAGCGCTGCAAAGCGCTTGCCTTCCATGCTATGGCCCTAGACTCACAGTAGCACACCGGCTTGAACGCTGAATGAAGCGCTTTTGCACCAGAAAAAGGCGCACTGAACCCGTTTCAGCACGCAAGGCGGTGAGCGCAAACACGTGTCGCCACTGGCCGTTTTGTCTCTAGGAGCACATAGGCGGCATGCCTCGCTTGCACGTCACAGGAGAACGCCGCAGCCGGCCCCGGCATCGGCAGCGGCGCGCGCTCGAGCCGGCTGCGGAGGCGCCGAGCTCACCGCGGAGACGCTCGAGGTCGCCGCGGAGCTCGCACGCTCGTGGGCAGCGGGCCGACAAGCCCGTGGTGCAGCAAGGCGCCTCTCAGGAGCCCGGCTTGGAGCCTGGCGCCTGGGCCCGAAGTCCACTGCCAGCTTCCCGTCTTGCAGCACGACAGGGAGCCCTTCACCTTGCAGCCAGGACCAACCACCTGAGCACACTTCGCCCCACTTGTTGTTCCATCTATCGTTGCAGGGCGGGGGCAGCATCCTGAGAAAGCACCAGCTCCAACGAACAACCCGGACAACCCGCGCGTGGCTTCACCCGCAGATCCGGCGCCTGCGAGTTCGGCGCCTGATCAGCTGCCCACGCCGGAGGAGACCCAGGCCAGGCTCGACAAACGTCAAAGCGCCTTGTCTGTGTGTAAATGCACATGCGTGCATCGGTATACATACATGTACAAACATCTACATTTATACAAGCATACATACCCACACATACAAACAGTTAAGATGAATTTAAGACAAATTTATGATAAAGCTACGACAACATTGAGATGAAACTAAAGACTACTTAGTGACTACTTTTAGACTAAAACAAGTAAGTTTAGAATGAATCTGAGATGAGTTTAACACGAATTTAAGATGAAATTAAGATTGTAAGATGAATTTAAGGTAGGTTTAAGCTTGTCAAGATGTGTCCTAGCTAGATTGGGGTATGCTGTTGGATTATATTTGTTCGCACGGTTTGACTATACTCTGCTATGTTGATAACCAACTGGAATTTCAATATCATGTGTTTGCTAGCGAGATGTCATATTGGATTTGTTTCATCATGCCTGCCAGGGTGATACCACATATTACTTTGTAAGTACGTGTTTTGCTAATGACGCCAATAGGAAGCGTTTGCTGGAGACTTTACAATTTAACAAACTATGTATTGAACCATAGACACCCGATAGACACCCAATATCAAAATATACTGATTGGAGCAGTGCGCTCGCAGTAATGTGGTCATTCCTTCCGTTTACAAAGTCTGTAGGTACATTAGCGCAGAATAACTGGCTTGTGGTTTTGATTCTTTAGCGCTGGCGAGCGCTGGCCCATTCGGAGCGCGAGCCTAGGTTGCCAAGCGCTGCGAAGCACTGCTATGTGTTTGATAAAAAACATATACTCCAGCGCTGAAAAGCGCTTGTGCCTGGGTTGGAAACTAAACTTTTTATGATTGTCATTGTTGTTTTGGACCACCGCGGATAGGAAAGCTTTCGGGTCAGTGTGTTAGCCTGTTTTGTAGAGCTATGCGCAAAAAGGCTGGCAAAATGGATGGTGCCCCCAAAGGGAAGGCAAAATCCGGAAAGGCGTGCGCCCAAGATACCAAAGGAAAGGAAATTTACAACCAGCTGTATCACCGCGCGAAGAAACAGGGTGAAAGCCTAGCATCTGATGCCCTTGCTGTGGAACACCATTCAGGACCGTTGTTGCAGTGTTGCGTGTGATGTAATTAGATAGCGGGAACTGTTTCTGAGTTGTTGGCACAACTGGCCGTAGGAAGACAACTCCAAGAAGGCAGGGTTTATGCGGCAGCTGGCTGAGGATCCTAGCTTGTCGCTGGTAAAACATAATTATAGATTGCGCGTTTGACCATGTACTATTTTGTTTGGAATATGGGTTGGCAAGCTCTCGAGGCTCAACGAGTTCTCGACCAAGGACGAGTCTACGGAGCTGAGTGAATAGATTGGCCGGAAACGCGTGGCCAAGGAACTCAAATTGACCAGCGCTGATGAGGCCGAGTTGGGCCTCGAGATCCAAGCGATCGCCAGCCGCACCCGCCCAGTCAACTCGCCGAAAAAGGCACTAAGCAGCACTTGTTCATCAAGCAGCAGGCCGCTAGCTCACTCACAAGCACCACTGAGGCGCTGCCGGTCTACGCCAGCAGCAAGGTTGGCAAAGTTGCCACGGCTGCAGCTGCCCCTTGCGACGCGGCGGTCAACAGCCAAAATGTCATGGCTTGCGTGGATACCAAGCGGCGTCCACGCAGGCCTCCACGGACAAGGCGCTGTCACAGGGTCGGGCGCTCCACGAGGCAGGGCGCCGAGACCAGACAGGTCGGTTGACTCAGTCTGCTCACATCGAGCCCATGGCCATCTTGTCGCTCAAAACGAGCCCATGGTCATCTTGTCACTGCCATCAATATATGGCTCTAAGTTTTGCATTGAAGCACGCAAAGAAACACAAGAAAAAAGACGCAAGCGTCGCGCGCTGCCCCTTCCAGTCACCAGGCTTCAACTCCGTAGGGCTGAACAAACCCCCAAGATCGGACACGTTGCTCAAGGAGGTACTGCAAGGTCGCCAGCCGTGCGCGCGCGTGAAGTTTTGAATGTCCGCCGGTTGGATTTTCGTTCATCCGCATGTGTGCCATCCAGAAGCCAACCTCTAGCGGCGCAATGCCTTGCCACAGCACGTGCGTACTGTCAAAGTGAAAAATTGCTTGGCGAAACCCAACGGCGAACGCCCAACGCACGCAGCAGTCCACGCTCGACATGGTTGAGTCCAAGGATGGTTTCGGCTTTGCGCAACTCCACAGCCTTGCTTGCGCGAAACAGAACGGCCAAATGGTCAGCCGCAGCCCGCGTGTTGTTGTCAGTGCGAAACGAAAAGCAGCCGGGTCAGCGCAAGCTACGGTGTAATGGCCCTTGAGGCAATCCGCTGCGATCACGTTTGTCGAGAATGTTCAGGCATTTGAAGCAAGGCTTGAAGCCAGAAGATCTGGCTAGGATCAACACCTGCCGGATGAGCACGAAGTGAGACCCAACGCCAAGACCCCGCGAAACAGCCTTCAAGTGGCGAACAATGGCTAAAGCCACAGAGCTCACGCCGCGCGGAGCCGACATTGAGATCATTGCATGCGCCATACCACAGCCAACGTTCCCTGCGGCTGTTACCCTTTCATGGTTTCCGGGCGTTCGCTCGCCCGCGTAGAGAAGCCAGTCGCAGCTTTTGTTCTTCAAGCTGGACAAATTCTCCGCAAACATGGGATGCTGCTGCGCCAACAAACTCAACATTTCAGGAATATTGGTCAACTGGCTTTGGATTTGACGCCCAAAGACACCAGGGAGTGAAATCACGGAGATGGCTTCCTTGCCTAATGGCCGCACAGCACAAACAATTTCGAATATTGCCCTTGCTGGCGTGGAGCCCTGCAGTCTTTCTTTGCAAGCTTTGATTCGCCTTTGCGTAGAAGCTTTCCGCTTGACATCTGGGCGGTTTCCAGCCAGCACAACGGCGTGGACGAAGTTGGTTGCCAAGCACGCAGACTTAAGGCTGCGTATGGCCACGACAAAATCATCCCAAAGCATCACAACTGTTTCCACTTGCTTCTTTCCGCCCGCGCCTTTGACCTGCTGCACGACACGTTTGGCCTGGAGCGCAACCATTGGCTGTGGAAAACGACGACGGTCTGCGGCAGCTTGAAGAATTGCGCTTGCCTCTTAGGTTAGACTGCAAACATGTATCATTGAGAGCATTTCTGCCACTCTGCCACTAAGGACTTCTCTGAACTGAGTCAACTGCAACTCAGCCACGTGAAGAGCGCCGCAAGGCTGCTGCCTTGTGACTTCTTTGGTTACGACCGTTGCAACTGTTTGACCCCAGCCAGCGACAATGTCAACTCACCACGTCTTGCCAGTCGCCTGTCAGTCAGGCTACGGAAAATCGAAGGTGTCACAAGCTGCTCTGTCAGACGCTCAACTTGACCTCAAGCGCACGCGCAAGCAACCAAAAAATCACCACTTGCGCACAGCCTGCACGTAAGGAACCATTTGGGCGTGCCTCTGGTTTGTAGCTTGCTGTTTCTGAGATCTGTGAAAGCACGTGGCTTTGTCAAGGTCAATCAATGGCCTTTTGACCGTTGTTGCCATTTATAAATTACTTAGCGAGGCTCCTGACACACATAGGCATTGTGAAACCTGGGCTGCGCCAGAACCAGTACTATTGTCGGACAGAGCAGCTCCGGCGCCTGACGGCATCTTGTTGGGCCCAGAGGGCCAAGATGACGAAGACGAGGCTTCATGACAAGTTTGACACTTGTCTACACATGATCACCTTTGACAAATAGTTGATTGAACGACATTCTACGGCACGTGGTGAATAACAAATGACAAGTTATATTACGTGTTTCGTATGAGTTAATGAGCTTGAGTTTATCTTTTGACTCCCTGTCGATCAACATTGTTGAAAACGCAACTGTCCAAGTAGGTGAAGTAGCAATGTCATTTGTCCGCG